TTCATGGACAGCGTGTTTAATTAATAGTAAAGTATAATGAAGGAACGAAAGCATGTTTTTATTATTAAGCGAAACAAGCGTCACATGAAGGAAGCACACATTCCACCAGTTCCTCCTATAATATCCCAACCACTGCTCCCCTGGTATAATTGTGTGAGAGGCGAATGGAAAGAGCCCCAACAGGTCACATCTAACTCATTAAAGATTAAAGAAAAAGATATGAAAGAATGCATGCGTGGTTTAATTTAGCTAAATCTGGCCCTTTTGCCCGAACCCTGGATGACCTAAATAGTTAATGGTAACTCTCGAATCTAGGGGCAACAGACACAAATAAAGCTAATGAAATAAAAGGAAAACAAGTGAACCGCGTGTTTCCTTTTCATTTCAGTAGTTTAGTTTAGGTTTCTTGACCACTGTTTTTCTGTTTTGTGCTGTTGTGTCAACTCATTAAAAGCTTGCTCTTCACTTTGTTACGCTTACCTTTTAATTAACTGGATCCAGCACAAAGAAGAAAAACACTAGGAGAAGATTCCATTGGAAGGAGAGTTGACCCTTAGAGTTAGAAGCGATCCGTGAGCTGGGTTAATAACGTCCAGCGGCAGTTTCTGCCTCATGGTCTGATTTCCTTGCTTGTTATGTAGTTGAAATAAGCAAAAAGAAATGAAAGAAAGAAGTGAATGATTGCGTGCTTTGCTTTATCTAGACTTAACACAACAATTAAATCAAGGGTGTGTATGTGTGTTTCTTTAGTGCTCTTCATGCTCTTCATTCCGTTTCAATTATAAAAGCACCAAACAAACGAAACACACGTTCCACCGTTCCTCCATCACAACTAAAGTTACATTATTCTCTGATCCATTATATTATAGGTGTATTCTTGTAGGAGATCTTACATTATAGAATCACATAATATTCTAGGTCAAACATCCAGTAACTATTCTCCTCCTATAATCTGATAACCTAATGGTATGATTGTAATGGTAAAAGTAGTTGTATATCCTGGTGTGTTTCCTTTGGTGCTTTCTTTCTTTGGTTCGTTTGCAATGAAATGAAATAAAAGGGCGAAACGAACCGAAGAAAAGAAACAGCGCCAATTAAACTCCAGGAACGAACGGAATGTGTGCTTAGCGTGCTTCTTCATTTTCTTTGCTTCAATCGATTAAAGGAAACAGCGTGCTTTCATTCCCTATTTCTTTTATTCAATTGGGCAAAAGGGAAAATGAAGCACCCATTCCATTCACTATCTTCTCCTAGTACTAAAAGACCCCATTTTATAAAGGAAAAGTAATGGAAGGAACTGAAGCACGTTTTTCCTGTATCAGAATTAGATCTTTTGCAAAAGACCCAAAGTTTAATTATAATAAAAATTCACGCATTCCTTTCACTTCACTCATTTGTGTTTTATTCAATTTTAATTGGTTCTTTTGGGATGTAATGAACGAGCGCTTAGCGAAATGAACCATCATCAACGAACTGAGATTATAGACGTTATTCAATGACTTGGAATCTAATCCCATCCTATGACCTAATATCATTTGAGGTTCCATATTACCTAGAAATATACTCTGAGAATCCCCGAAGCACCGAGCCTAGTGTAATAAAGGATGAACAAAGTGAATAATAAAGTGAGTGGTTAATTCTGGTGGTCTTTCCTTTGTTAAAATACAACGCAATGAAAGGGAAACGGAATGAGGCGTGATTTTAATGAAAGAAAAACACAACAGAAAACCTCACGAACCAAAATATGAACGAAATATTTTTATAAGATTACACGACTCATTATTAATATATTTCTATCATTAGAAAGTCGTTATCATATTATACCAAGAAAATCCATTACAATTCTAGCAACTATATCTTCGCCAATATTTGTATAGCTAATCTCTAGGTGTAATAAGGGATAACATGAATGACTTTCGCATTTTTTGTAATGTAGTGTGAGCGAAAGCATGAAAGAAACAAAAGGCGAAAGAAAAAGGAAACGAAATCAGAAAGTAAGAAGGTACTAATGTAATGTCAAGATACGACCACAAGATGGAAAGTGGTCTACGGGAAAGTGACCACGTATTCAACTAAAAGAAAAAGTGAAAGAAGCCAAAAGCACAGGAACAAAAACACACATTAGATCTACTGGATGACTTAATTATAAACTAGAAAGACATTGAAAGACTTTTCATAAAGTAAAGTAGGATGAAGACAGAAGGAAATAAGATAATGAATCCTGCAATTTTATTTGGTGCAGCTTTTGTCATAGCATATTGGCATAAGAAATACCCTTCAGGCACTATATGTAAAGGAGTAAGAAGCAGTTCGCGGCCTCGATCGTGCAGGCGGATCTGGACAAGTACAAGCCTCACCACAATGCCCAAGCCTCGGGAGTTCCCCCGAGCGAGGCCCGAAGTACTCCGCGTGCTTTTTCCGTGCAGGTTGGCATCATCGTCGTCGACGGGCGAACTCTGCGGGCGAGTGCGCTCCCCGAAACGTGACGAGAGCAGAGAGGGGCTGCGCCTCCCTCTCCCTCTCCCTCTCCCTCCCGAAGCGTGGAGCCGAGAGCGAGCCGAGGCCTGCAGCCCGTGCCAGAGCGGGGCCTGGCGGCGATGAAGAAGTCCGGGGCCCCAGATCCGGGTTTCTTGCTCTCCGTGCCCTTTCTGACTTTCGATGGACATCGGGCCTGCCAACGACTAATGGCTCTTACACGTTTCAAGTTAAGCCGACACGGCTCGACTCCGGGCGGTGTCAGCACTTGGGCCAACAAGAAGTGCAGAAAGATCTCGTTCGAGAGACTGATTCATACTACTGCCCGGAACACGTAGGCCCGGTTCTGGCCCTTTGTGAAGTGCGGGATGCCCTTCAAAGGACTTCAAACCGCAGAGCAGCGGGGATACATACCTCTTACCGGTCGTAGCAGACACCCGAAACCGTCTGTTGGGTCGTGCTAAGTCGTAGTGCCATGCAGAAGCCAGGGCAAAGCTTGTTAACAGCGAGACCGCCAAGTTCGAGCCTGAAGCCGCAAGGGCGCTCACGGACATCGCCCGGCGGAAGTGTCAGGGTGTTTTGCAGCGCTTCGACCATGCCAACAAGGTCCGCTGAGGGTGAATGGACTTCAAGCGCCTTCTGCGTGTTAACATGTTTGCAATATGCAAAGATGTGTTTCTGAAGCCAGATTTTCACTGGAGGTGACTGTCGAGACTCTGTCGTCCTAGTTTCGGTGCTTCTCCAGGATTGTCTCTTTTGTGACGGTTTCGGAAAGACCTTACGTGTTTGCAGTTCAGGAAATACTTCTCAGATCCAATCATGTGCCTGCGTTTCTCAGAGACATCCGCAAAGAAGCTGTTGTTGCGGTTGGTGGCACCTCGTTGAGCTTTCTGGGCTGTGTAAACCCAGTTGAGCGCAAGCACGCGACCAACCGAACATGCCAGACACGATTTACCCACAACTCTCGTGCACTTCGTGCTTTTGTTACTTATTTTGTGTTTCTTCCGATGCTTCCTGAACGGCAGATTCTGGACGAGCGGCCGAAGAGTTTGACTGCCTATGCAGACTACGTCAAGGCACCGCTCACGTGGAGGGAGCTGCAAAACGAGAGCAGAGAGAGTCTCTGCTCAGAGCCATGAAGACCCGAGTTGGCACCTGCGTGCAGACTGCAAAGCAAGAGTGGCCTTTCACCCCGAGGCTCGCGGCGGTTCAAAAGCACGCGGAATTTGACCTGCAGGATCCCAGCGACACTGACTAGCCTTGAACCGCTTCATTAAAAAAGCTTTTTTTTACGTTTGGCCTCTGCCGCACGCGGCGCTTCTGTTTTCTCCTCGCTGCCGTGGATGGGCCGGCAGCGAGTCGCCCTGGTGCTGCTGTTTTTGCTGGGAGGCCGCTGGGCCTTGGCAGTGCGTGTGCGAGGGGTCGCCCTCTCTTGGGGGCGACGTGTTGATGGACGTCTCTAGATTTTTAGCGACGTTCGGTGCGAGAGATCGTCGAGACTTCGACGACTGCCCGGCACTACCTTCCGGGCTGCCATCAAGGGAGTTTTGGTTGACAGACTCTGTTAATCATCTGGTATCTCTTGCTTAAGGGTAGACGGCATGCTACTGCATGTGCCAGTTTCGACTAATCTAATGTCGGGCCTTTCCGGCACATCCCATCTGAAACTTGGTGGCCTCACACATCGGCTCGCAACAGCCCCAAAGCTGATTCGGACTGCTTCCGCCCCCGAGGCTTCGCTGTGAAAGGTTGGATGGAGCCTTCAGAAGCAAGGAGCAAAGACCGCAAAGGGAGCCGGAGAGAGGCCTTCGGAGAGGAGTCCCAGCGCTCAGGAGGGCTGCGCAGGCGCTGCTGGCTGGCAAAGTCCGCGGCGTCAGGCGGAAGTGGGAGCTGCTCGGCAGCTGCTCGTCCTTGGATTCCCATTCAAAAACAGTGTCATGGCCGTTAGAGCAGCGAGGCTACTCTGCGGAGAGAACGGAGGAGATCCTTGCAGCTCAGCTGTCCGAGCAGTGTAGGTCTTCTCTTTTGGCCGCGGTCTCTGAGGCCAGCTTCCGGCTGGGAGCGTCTTTGGCCGAGCGCTGCGGACTTGAGAAAGCAGAAGGCGGGCACCATGCGAGTCGTTTTGCAGCTTGTGGCGAAACCGGGTGTCACATCGCGGGGTTTGCAGGACAAAGCTGGCTGGACGCCGTCCGCTTGCTGCGCAGGCGCTCGGAGGAGCGGCCGACCAAAGCTTTGACGGGGAGAGCCCCAGGTCCCGCGGGATCCCGCGGGCTGTTTCGACTGTCACAGTATGTCACAGTGTGAGCGTGCTTCTGAGTGCCAGAAAATCCTGCCAGAGGCTGCACCTACTCTCCGTGTAGCATCGTGCCACCCAAAGCCCAGCGCTTCAAACGAGTGCAGGAATTGGACGAAAGCCCGGCAGCGCTTTGGCAACGTGCTTCTGGGACAAACTTGGACGTCTTGTGTCTTGAGTAGATTTGACCTTCTGCCTGGCCGAATATGTTGCACTGCTTCGCATCCTTCATCCGGTGACTTTGTGCAATGTTGCTACGTAGCACCACTAGCATGGAGGCATGAGAGTCCTGCAAAGTGATCCGACCGATGCATCCGCTGAAACCCTCGAGAGCCCACAAGTGCACCTGGAGAAATGTGAGGTCGAGCGGCATCCGATTGCCGAGTATGTCCATGTCCAGTGCCAGAGTCGCCTTGGCTTTGGTTTTCATTCTGTGCCAGTTTCTACTTGAAGCAACTTGACGGTAAATCCCAGTGATTTTGTGACCCGTTGTGCGAAGCTCTGCCTCACATCTCTCATCCTTGAACGGGGTCGGAGGCGTGCACGGCTCCTGGAACTAGTCCAGGCTGTGGGAACCTCATTCCGGACAGCTTTCCTGCCGAGGAGGACGGCAGCTCTTTGTTCCAGGACGCGCATACTGCAAGAGGTGGGCCGGCCAGCACAGGATCCCAACTTATCCGAGGAGGAGCCGCAGCCAGAAGAAAGGTGCGGTGCTACCGCGGGGAATGTCCCCAATACTTTGTTTTCGAGATGCAGCTATTTACTTTGATTTTAAAGCAGGCGGAGTTTGTTGTTGGACAGCTGGCCTTAGTTAGTTTGGTGGGTGCCACTCTAAATTTCTGGACGCCCTGGGAGAAGCCTTGGAGTTGTGCGCGATGTTCTGCCAATTGATCCAGACTGCGCATGAAGAAGATTCCATCCACAACCGGAAGAGTTCTTGGGGACCGTTGTGCTGGAAAAAAATTGTCATTGGTAATGAACAGGAATCTCAGTGTATCCCACCGTCACGGCCTCGCAGTCTCCACTCGCCTTGACATGAAGCTTCATGGGGCTGTGCCGCACAAAAGACCTTGACATCACTATGTCGCTAAGCGCTTCGGGCAGACCATGCTCGTGGTGGTCAAATCCTCCCCTCGCAACTGCTTGGGGCGCACTCCAGTCGCAAGGGCAGAACTAAACTCACGACAGACCAGAGACAAAGACCCACATTTCAGAAACATGCATTTGGCAAATGCTGTTTTCAAGGGATGTCGCGCAGGAACATGCACCCGTGGCAGGCGATACAGTGATCTAGATGTTTCGGTTGCTCTCATTTGTAGTGGAATGGTTGCATTTATGCCTATGGTACACGGCCAAGATAGGGCCAGTTCGCAATGCTGTTCTGCCAACACTGGCTGCAACTAAACAGAGTGAATGCTGCATCGAAGCACCATGTGCAGTGTCGTTGTCCATGTTGCACATGCACCTATGTTTGCGCCCCTATCGTGTCGCCGCCAGGCCTTTCGTGCGGGCCGGATGGTTTCGTGGGCCGCGAGGGGCCGTGGTGTTCGTTTTCCGCTCCTTGGGTCTTGAACGTTGAGGCAGCTCTTGGTGTGACACAGGCTCACGGATCCGGTTCCCAATTCCGCAATTGATAAGTCAAAAAACGAAATCTGCTGGATCCGCCAGTTCGTAGTTGCAGGACTACGTAGCAATCTGCATCATAGTACTTCCAGTGTTATTCGCGAGTGTCAATCGCCCCTACGCCTACCAGCCAGGATGGTCCCCAGCAGGGTCTTCTCAGTGCCCATCCCGAACCCTAGACTCCTAGACGGCGAGCTTCTGATTCCCAGAGCTGAAGGCTGCCCGGATTGCGGGTCTGTCTCGCGCTGGTTTCGTGCAACGCACCCGGAGGCCTACGAGACGCTTCAAAGGGGGTCGGTGTGAAAGGTGTGTCCTGCAAGTGGCGACAACTGTAGACCAACGTCCTTCCGCGTGGCAAATCACGCCGCCCGGACATGTCAAACGCTTCGGTCCAGGTGACGTTGAACCCAAATCGATGGGGCCGCCTCTGCGGCGAGCAGGAGGAGCTTTTCGGGCGTCCTTCGCTTCGGCTCTTCAGGGTAAGTAGGAGGATCTCCACCCAGGAAGGGGCTGCAGGCTGCTGCTACCAGCTTTGGATCCTCGCCGCGCCTCGTGACCAGGACTTGAAGGCCTGGCTCGCGCGGTACTTGGGCGTCCGACTGCGAAGCTCTGCGAGAACTAGAAAAGGCTCTTTCGCCGGCCCTTTCGCCGGCCCCAGCCCCCCCCCTTCAAGTGTCATTTGCGAACATACTTTTCAAGTACTTTGGGCCTCTCTTCGGAGTTTCTTCGACACGAAGGTGCGAGCCCGTTGCTAGCCTAGCAACCCCGCTCAACTCCAAACAAGGTGTTTGCCTTCCACTGGACTGGGATGCCCGGCACGCAACGTCCCGCGGAGGGTTGAGCAAAGTTCGGGACGGACCGGAGATTATCAACCCGTGCTTCCTCTTCCGAGGATCACGTGTGGACCGAAGTCTTCGATGGGGACTCCTGGCGACCATTGGCATCTTGGCCAAAAGCTCCCGGCCTCTGCCCGAGATCACCTCTACATCGACATGATGACGAGAGAGTGCTTTCCACTTTCGGACTCTCCGGGTTTTTCACAAAAAACTAGAGCCAAGGATCCGAACTGCTGCTCGACGGCACCTGTGGGGTTGCTCAATGTAGCGATGTCGGTTGTGTCAGGAATTAGCGGGTGGGGCGCATAGCGAACTGCTCGGTTGGACAAAGTTCTGCTGAGCTCGAACCCCTGAGCAGCTCTTACAGTCATAGGGCCATAGGTCGGTTGTTTCTTGTGCCCGTGCATAAGATCATCCTGCTTCGGAATCTGTTGGATGGGCAAGTGCTGCGCATGACTTGTGATGACTCGTGATGACTTGCGGATCATATGGTCTTGTCTTGACGATGCAGACTTCATATTTACTTACGCCGTTGCGCCGCTGGTTGGTCTTTCTGCAGCAGGTGCCCGACTGGTTGATGCACTGTTGCCAGGTTGCCGCACAGAAATCCCTCGCTGTGTTCTGTACGGTTCTGATGTGTCGACCGTTCAAGTTGTGATATGAAAAAAGATGATGCTATGACCGGCTGGCTAACGACCTCGAAACAACTAGCTGCTCCATTCAGTGATGATGCAGGGTCCTGAAGCTTCCTGTCTTCATGCGAAGTGCTCGGCTTTGTGCGGAGTCCGTGCAAGTCCAGTTCTGCAAAGCACATCTCGGAGTGCACATTCTATGGAAGCTGAAGTCTTCAGCCCGCATGCCCCAGTCGAGGAGTGATCTGAGAGAAAACCGGGTGCGACACACAGGCAACTACCTTTGTGTGTTTTTGCATGTGTGAATCCAGACTTCTCACCATGCCGGCATGAGTACACAGCAAAGTGGCTTTGGCGACAATACAGATACTGTACCTTCACCGTCGCAGACCTTTGAGCCAGTGATTGAGGTGTCGACTTTGCCAGACGCCTCAACGAGGGCATTGGCTCCTGGCTACTCGACTGAAGTCGCAACCGGGGCTTGCCGTGCTCTTGGACACATGTGGAAGTTTTGGCCAAGGACGCACGTCCTGGCCATCGGCACTCCAGGCAGGAACAAATCCGGGAGGTTTCGGTTTTGCGGGCTTTGGCGATGGCGCCGAGGCAGTGGGGACATGGTGGCAGCCACAGAGGAGGCTCTGGCGCAATCGGTCGCACCACGGTTGAGGTTCTCCCTGAAGTCTGACGACTGTGGTTGTGCCTACATGGCAAATCTGGGTCCATAGTTGTGCTGCACAGGCTTCTCTATCCGCCATAGAAGTGTTTCGGGTCAGGAGTGCCGTGCATCTAGCCCTAGGCTGTTGTTCCCAGCTGCTCTGATCTACTGGCTGGCACCTGATGCAGAGTGTAGGGCAACCTTGCGGTAGGTCACGGAGAAGTACCTGCTCATGGCACAAGCCAGCGACGACGAGGCGGAAGGGAGACAACCGTCGAGAAGACCAGTGAATCCAGAAGTTAAAAAATAAATCGCGATTTAACTGTTCGGTTTTTGACCTACCTTGGACTATCCAAAGACAAAATTTAATCAAGCTTTTAGTTGTGTTTGTATGCATTTCTCTAATTAACAGTTACAGTAAGTCATGATTTTACTGTCTCGCTCTCTGTTTAGAGACTTGTGTCAGTTCGCTGGCGGGATACCACATTAAATTATGATTTAATTGCGTAGTCTGGCATCCTTTTTGGTAGCCACGAGTAATGTAGTTAGTTCCTATCATGTTCGAAGGAACGCTACCTGGATACCACATTAAAACATGATGTAGTTGCGTAAGTTGGCGTCCTTCTCTTGGTAACCAAGAGCAAAGAGAACACGATTGAGCGAGGGTCTTGTTTTCGGGCTGTAAGGTTCGCGATTCAAACCTTGAAGGTTGTAAAAACCTGCTGGAGGAATAGTGTTGAGCACATGCTGATTCGCCCCAACAGCAGCGCGAAGAGGAACCAAAAATGATTGTGGATGAGGCTTAATCACGGCTGAGAGTTTTCTCGACAGGCTTGTTTGCACTCTGAGGCGTCGTATGTTTGATCTTGCGACTGAAACCTGTTTTGGGTTTCCTTGTTATGTGGTTGATAGTAGAATGGCACAGTACTAAAGTCGCAAAATATTGAAATGGTACATTGTACAATAGTACAGTAGTGAAATTGTAAAATAGTATAATAGTAAAATAGTACACTACAGCTGGCGGATGCTTCAGCTTATAAAGCTTTCATAGCATCCGATAGCACTTACCAATCACTCCATCCCGTTTGTCTAGTACAATGATACTGTATTGAAACAGTACAATAGTAAAACCCCGGCTCAACCCGCAGAGATCGGTTTCCGAGATGCAAACGGGTGTGTGGTAGAACAAACAGCGCAGCAAGCATGGGAACTCGCACCGGAAGCTTTCCTCTGGGGAAGGAACCGGAAAGAAGGAGAATTCGCGCCAAGGGAAGCTTTCCACAGGGAAAGGAACCCAAGGCTGCTGAGCCTCCTGCGGCTTCCAAAGGTAAATAGTAAACGATAAAGTAGTAGAGTCTTAGTAGAGAGTGAAATAGTAGAATAGTACAGTAGTGAAATTGTAGAATAGTAATAGTAAGAAGTAGTATAGCACAGTGGTGAAATAGTAAAATGGTAAAATCCTGGCTCAACCAGCACAGGTCGGTTTTCGAGATGCAAGCGGCTGGGGGCGCGGCAAAATAGTAAAAAAAAATCCTGTCTTAATCGGCGCAGGTCGGTTACCGAGATGCGAAACGTACTGGCTCAATTGGCACAGGTCGTTTTTTTTGGAGATGCAAACTGTTTGGTGCCATGCATCTCGGACGCGAACTTTGCATCTCGGAAACCCAACCTTGCATGTCGAACGCCACAGCCACGTGATCACAAACATGTCACCTTAAACCTTGAGCCTGAAACAAGGTCGCGTGCTGATAAAAACCCTGGTGTTTTGAGG